TGAATAAAGAGAGAGAGAGAGAGAGAGAGAGAGAGAGAGAGAGAGAGAGAGAGAGATTAAGCATGTGTAAATTACCTCTCTGAGTCTGTGCGTCTCTCAACAGTGTTCGGCAGCAGCGTCTCTATACTAATAGCGAAACTGTAAGTTCATCTGTTTCAAGAACAGCAGTTATTACCTCGCTAGTAAGAAATGGCATGCAGCTTTTAAATTGCTAAACTATTTTACTGATAAAATCAGAGCAGCTCTGACAACATGTTTCTGTGGAAATTATGTGTCTGTAATGCTATATGTGTCTGGCGTTTGTATGGGAGAGAGCGGGAGAAAGAGAGTATGTGCTTTCTGTACATAATAAAACAGAATTTGTCGTTGTGGGTTTTGGTTCTTTTGCTGTTGTAAGCTAAGGACCTTGAAATAACTGAAATCGTTAGTCGAAGTGATGTGGACATGTGATGCGGTCAAGACCTGCCTGAAACTAATTTAGCCAGTGCATTTCCCTGAAAATAATTGCACGCCTTAGAATGTTTGTCAACCAATCAGATTCAAGCATTCAGCAGCCCTGTAGTATAATATGCAACAAACGACACAAAATCTGCTACCGTATCCGTTCTCCCGTGTATGTGAATGGAGCACAAAACCTAGCGTGACCACCGCTTTAGTCACTTGCCGGCATGTATTTACATGTCATAATCAGTGTTTTGGAAGATTTATTGTTAGCAGATAAAAAAAAAAAAAACTAATTCTGAATGATATCTGACCTTCTATGAATAATGACTACTTTTAAAAGCTGAAAATAATCACAGTGATTCACTCCTGTACTAATTATAGCAGTAGTCAAGACGATGAGTCAGACCACCCCTGCAGCAGTCACAGGAATATCTCCACCAGTTGATCTGACTCTAAAGTCTGTTGTATTTATTGAACCCAACAGGTTTAGTGGCATTCAGACAGCACCTCCAGAACCTGGCCAGGACCAAGGGCTTCCTGGAGCTGAACAAAGCCCAGATAGTGTTAGGAGATGGTGGAGGGGGAGGCGGCAAACACACTCAAGAGCTCCTAGAGCCTCACCACCCATTCAGCCATCAGGTCAGATAGCCATTTGAGCTGTTCTCAGTTTTTTTACATTTCATGTATGGGTATTTTGTCTTTATATTAAATAAAATAGGTAGGAGAATACTGAAAAGAGTGGTTTTGTCTTAATGTTTTATTGTTTGACTTGGCGGCAATTATCTGTAATTTATGCTGATATGAACCAATTTCTAAATTTCAGGAAGATGGACGCCAGTTTCTAAGTGGAAAAGATACGTCGACATTCACTGGTAAAATGCACCCTTATCTGCTATCCAGGAGACAGAGTTTGGAGACACAGTACCTCGCTCAGCGACTACAGGTGGGTCAATTACAAACAAGATTTAGCACAATAAAGAAAAACAAAAAGAAAAAACTTTTACAAATCTACTTTAAATCACACATGCCAAGCTTTTAGAAATGTACTCTTTGTGTGTGGTTTCTTATGTTTTTGAAAAACGTTTAAACAATTTTCAAGAAAAGTTTAAACTTAATGATTCTAAAAAAGTCATTTGGTATAACCAAGTAAAGCATAATATTTTCCATATACCACAAATATATTCAAACATACATATATGTATATAGTTATTGTTTTAAATAGATTTTTCAAAATATTGGGTATTTTTATGTTTTTAGGGAGTCGCACAACATTTTACAACAATGAACTAATCTTGCCTTGTCATGAAAAGCTCAAATTATCTGATTTTTTTAAGAGACTCATTTCCTGTTCCTTTTAATCTTCTTGATTCTGCCTGTTTTTCTTTATGCACCTCAACAAAAAAAAAAATCATAGAAGAGGTGTATTCAAGCCATTGTATGTATTATTGATACTATCGGTAAAAAGGAACTGATCCAGACAAAAGAATAAGTGTCACATCATTGACCCAAATATCACAAAACAATTTTTTTTTTTAAATTGTATTTCTGCCAAAATAGCATTACATAATAATCTCTAATCCTCACTGAAAATCCCATCTATAACCTGTGTGAATTTCTGTGCTAGTCCAGATTAGTTTATTCTGGTTTAGCTAAGATATGCTGCTACTGCATTAATAAGTACACATAAATCTCATAGCAGATCTAGACAAGTGGAGCTGGGGGAGGTGGAAGGTTTCAGGGGAACTCTGATAACGTGCTGCAAGACCAGCAAAATAATTTCAATGGATTATGGCTTGTTTTTTTTTTTCAGAGGGCCAGTCAGTTGGCAAGTGGTCTTGGAAGTGGACATATGTTTTGTAAAGAGGCTGCACCACGCACTTTAGAGCAACAACTGCAGGAGCACAGGTCAGGAACAACTGCCTTCATAATGCATGGATATCCTGAAGTTGTCCTGAAGAATTGCAGTTATGACACATCTGTTCATTTGTAATTCTATGCGCAGACTGCAGCAGAAAAGGCTCTATCTCCAGAAGCAGTCTCAGGTACATGCTTACTTCCACCAGATGCAGCTGGCAGAGGATGCTTACCCCCCTCCCCAGGACTGCAAAGACCCCCAGATCAGCACCAGTCCCTTGTCCAGCCCTCCCTTCACACGGACCCAAAACCTAACCCCTTTTCTGGAGCCCTGCACTTTGTCCCTGACATATAGCCCCAAGTCAGCCCGCTTCCCAGACTGGCCTCCGCTGCCAGACAATCACACAAACTACACCCCATCCCTCCCTACAGAGCCCCTATACGCGTGGAGTCCTACCCAGCCGCCTCTTCCACCGGGCAAAGCAGAAAGCCCTTCAGCCAAAACTGCACCTGAAGCCCCCTTCCTGGACTGCGAGATGATGGAGACCATTGAGGCCCCACAAGGCTGTGTACTCGTAAACTAAATGTGAAATAAAGCACTCTGAGGCTGGCTCTCAGGCATAAGATGTGGTGAAAAAAGACCCTCAGGGACGAACAAGACGCCATGGTTTGGGTCACATCTTATAAACCTACAGACGTGCACTTGATCCTGTGGTAGACCATTACAACTTCATTTTCAGAGATGTTTGTGAGATGTGCTTGTGTCCTGAAATGTCTTTTTTTTTTCGGTATGCACAGATGAAATGTAGTGCAGCTACCATAGAGTATAAAAATCAGTATTAAAGCAATATTACTTTTCCTATATAATACTTTAGAGTTCTATGAGTTTCAGTGTTTTTATAAGTAGTTTGTTTCATCCTTTAATGATCAGTAGCTACTCAAGGATTCATTTAATATTGTGTGATTTTAAATAATAGATAATTAACAGAAATGTGTAAATATTAGGACTTATCTAAAGTGCTGCCAATAGGATGTAATTTTGCAAGCCAACCCGGAAGTTATGGTGCATTCACACCATGTCAGAATTACCGTAATTACGAGATTCTGACTTGTAAAGAGTGCTCACGTCCTCTTAGAACTCGTAATTAGAATTTGTGAATTTTCTGAGAGCTCTGACTTGTGCCACCTGACCTCTGCAACATCACACAAAAACTCTTAAAATGGCAGCGACTTCAGCTGTAAAATGCAGTTAAGCAGTAATATTTAGTTAAACATAATATTTCTGTTTTGTAATGAATAATTAATAATAATTCCTATAATTGACTACTGTGAATGTCTTGATAATGCAAGGATAAAAAAAGACATACAGTACAGTTTAATGTGGCTAGCACAGCTAAATGCATCTAATGTCCCACTAAATAAACAAAGTTGATTAATAAGGTATTTGATGTATTGTGGTTTTGTCTATTGATTATTCAAATGACACAGATTCATTTTGCAGTTAATAGTGTTGCCATAGAGACATATGATTCAGGACGTGAACAGTTCCAGCACAGGTTGTCATCTAGTAATTACCACATGGTGTGAATGCAGCATTGGCATCACCCTGGTTCTCTCGACAAAAGCCAATATGATTTTTATATTCGATTTTTGGGATTATTAAAAACAAATAAAATAAGATCTGTGACCAGCTAAAGTTTATGACTCTTGCACGTTTTGTTAGATAATGAACATAACATTTGTGAATTTTGAAGCCTAAATACAATCACCAGAAGCAAAAAGCTAAAAGTAGGCTATAAACGTCAACACCATTTAGCTTCAGACAACTCTCGGTCTTTATTTAACACCTAAAATAAAGTTGGAATATTTGAGTTACTATAGTTTGTAAAAGTATAAACACAACAAGGCTGTAAAAGACGATTTTTCGTGTTCGATGTGATGTTTAATGTCCCGACAGCCTCTGTAGTCCCATTTTGCCACTCGTTAGCAACCAACTTTTTCAAGACATGTAAAAGCTTAAAAAATCATGAGTGGAGTATTACTGATCTGTTTTATGTTATAACGTATGTTATATAACTGATGATGAATCTGGGTTTTAGGACTCCTGCAGCACTATTGTAAAGTGTTACCACATTGCAACAGCTGTTTGACTATTGGTAAACATTAACAGGCACGACCTAGATCAGGGTTCCTCAAATCTTGCTCAGACAACTCTCGGTCTTTATTTAACACCTAAAATAAAGTTGGAATATTTGAGTTACTATAGTTTGTAAAAGTATAAACACAACAAGGCTGTAAAAGACGATTTTTCGTGTTCGATGTGATGTTTAATGTCCCGACAGCCTCTGTAGTCCCATTTTGCCACTCGTTAGCAACCAACTTTTTCAAGACATGTAAAAGCTTAAAAAATCATGAGTGGAGTATTACTGATCTGTTTTATGTTATAATGTATGTTATATAACTGATGAATCTGGGTTTTAGGACTCCTGCAGCACTATTGTAAAGTGTTACCACATTGCAACAGCTGTTTGACTATTGGTAAACATTAACAGGCACGACCTAGATCAGGGTTCCTCAAATCTTGCCCTGGAGGGCCAATGCGCTGCAGAGTTTAGCTCCAACCCTGATCAAACTCACCTACCTGTGATTTTCTAATGATCCTGAAGACATTGATTAGCATGCTCAGGTGTGTTTGATTAGGGTTAGAGCTAAACTCTGCAGGAAAGTGGATCTCGTGGGCCAGATTTGAGGATCCCTGCTATAGGGTATTCTTGGGAAATTGCTAGGAGGTTACAAGGATGTTTTGGCTGGTTGCTAGGAGGTTACTGTGTGTTCTAGTAGTGGACTGTCAATCCGAATTCAGCTACCTGTGATTTTCTAATGATCCTGAAGACATTGATTAGCATGCTCAGGTGTGTTTGATTAGGGTTAGAGCTAAACTCTGCAGGAAAGTGGATCTCGTGGGCCAGATTTGAGCATCCCTGACCTAGATGATGTCAGCAGTCAAAGTAAAGTTGTTTTGGGCGGAGCAATGATAAACGATTACAAAAATCATCTGTGGAATAATATACGCTGATGGTTGCGCACAGTAAGACCAAACAACATGCGTTCATTCTGAGTTCATGTTGACTTTAAAAATCACACTACCTACTTCAGACTTCTCAGAGTGGACTGGAGAAGTAGAAAAGAACAAGGTTACAGTACATGGTTTTTCTGACAGTACGTTTGCTTTTAGAGCCACTGTAAACATTACTTGGTTTAAACCAATCAGAATCGACAAAATAAAGAATACAATGATCTCACACAGCGTGCACTACTACTCAAACCGAAGTTCAGCAGATTTTTTTTTTTAGAAACTTAAGTGTTGTGCCTTTCAATTCTTCTTGTTCCTTTTTGAAGAATGTCTGTTTTTAGATTTGTTTCTTCAAGTAAAACTTCCTGTTTGGAAATGCAGTATGAAGCACCCTCTTTTTTTTTTGACAGATACCTTGAACCAAAGTCTCCATTTAGGTTCTATTTTGAAGTCCACTATGTGGATTGTTCTGGAACCATGAGATAGTTGTCATGGTCCTACAGTATATGCCATTTAAAAATATAGCAATATCTAGAGTAATAGTTCTGATGTTCAAACTGGGTGTTGATAGTGAGTGTTGTCATTTTATGCCTTTGAATTTGTAGTCAGATCTTTATTGACTATTGTTGATATTAATACCGACATTGAAAAGTGAACCGTTTTGTTATAGTTGTTTTTCAGTGCTAAAATGTTTCCCAGTATGTAATCACAATATGAATTTTGTTATATTCAGTTGAAAATGCTGAGTTCCTTGCACAAGGGGAAATAAAGGTCACGCTCCTTGAGTGAAAACATTTGAGTGACATTTTTGTGCATACATATCTCGCATCACATTACCTCAGTTCTGACTATACTCAGAAAGATAACGGCCTTTCATTGCTTAATAGAATATTGAGACAAATACTGTATGTTTTAAGGGATAATTCACCCAACAATGAAAATTCTGTCATTTACTCACCCTCATTTTGTTACATGGTCATGACAGGAGTTTGGATACTATACAGAGCTCTTTAAAAAAATGCACAGTGAACTGATTACATACAATTTTTTCCAAACTTTAGTATGATGTTATCCATACATTTTTGGTCAGTTTGAGAATTTAGTCTGTACAGCATAGATGGACAGAGACGGATTTCTCCATACAGAATCCATATGATATCATAAACTTCATGCAATTAAATAAGAATTCTCTCACCACAAGTGACAGAAATTTATTTTTTCCATTAAGGAATTTAAAAGGTTTTCCAAGGGGCATTTTTCTAACCTTTTTAAATATTGGCTATGCATCATTTCTGTCAAATTCTAAAATGAATTGATCCATTTATTCAGAACAAAACACTATGGCTGTTACCGAGGAAACCCTTCTTTGCAATGCAGAGGAAGCACAGAAGCTGCATCTGGCATTTAGATGTAATTACATAGACTGTTGATGCAGCTCAGAGGGGGTATAAGTGAATTTATACAGCAAAAATAAGATTAAAGTATCAACTATAAAAACTAAAACCAGCAGTAAATGGCAGCAAGACTTCTGTGAGTCACTGAGTCATTCGATTTGTTTAAAATGACCGATTCATTATTTCCTCAATTCGTAGGAACTGTCTGCAAATTCAGTGTGAGGCAAATAACATGGGTTTTGTCAATAGCAATGATTAAACAAAATCTAGTTTTATGTTTCTTGTATTTTAATTTCTTGTCAGCATGTCGCACGATAGATCTTAAAGGGATAGTTCACTCAAAAATGAAAATTCTGTCATCATTTTCTGAACTTCAAGTCGTTCCAAACCTGTATGAGATTCTTTCTTTTGTAGAACACAAACGAAGATATTGTGAAGAATGTGGTAAACAAAACGCTTATTGTAGCCACAGACCTTTTTTTTTTTTTTTGGTTACCACATTCATAAAAATATATTTTGTGCCCAACAGAAGAAACTCAACATGAGGGTGAGAAAATGACAGAATATTTATTTTTGGGTGAACTATCCCTTTAACTAGAGCTTATTGAACCTGGAACGAAAAAGCTGTAAATAAGCCATATGATGCAGGCAGTTTGTCACTGGTGTAGATTGTAATATAAGCTGGAGAAATGTTGCAAAAATCATGCAAACCCGGAAACAGCCACTGTGTGTGAAATGTAACTTTATACATAGCTGCTGAATGAACAGGAGTGTTGCATAGAGCTGGTTAATTTCCCCTGATGATTAATCTGGGCAGAATGGCACTAACACTCAAAAGGTGAGTCGTGATGTTCCAGCTGTAAACTGTTCATCAGCAGGCACGACAGCAGCAGCTCCACCATTCAGACTCCAGAGAAAACAGCCTTGTCAGAACAAACGCTCAAAGCCATGACGGCTCTCTCAGGCTGTTAGACCTTGCATGCCAGTTGTGTAGCGGTTTTAAAATCTAATAAACTGTAGTGATGAGATCTTGATTTGAATGCAGTTTTCCAAATTAATAAGAAAATCTAATAATTTTTATCAGTTTGGACTGACAGGCTTTAGTTTATTTACCAAACTGAGTCTACCAATTATGCGAGGTGACGGGTTAAAAATAAACCAAACACGCTCTCTCAAAGTTGGGATCTTTCAGAAGGATCTGCAGAGCTGCTGAGGCTGACAGACTTCATTTCTCATCACTTAGCTCTTTTTTGTTCAGTTTTGTAAATAAAATTAGAAAAGTTGACAGTACAATTAAAAAGAGGAAAAATGTGACATTTAACAACATAATAAATATCAAAACAATATCAGTACAACAGACTTGTTGCTTTCATATTTATACACCACCCTACATTCTATTAAGTCCCCTTAATATTAAAAACACTATAGATATACTTTCACATATCCATTGAGATACAGAAACATATGAAATCCACCCAGTTGTAAAACTGTATTTAGTGTACATGTAATATATGATTAAATTAACAGAACATTTGCATACATTACTTATCAAATGTTTGAGGTTGGTAAGATTGTTTTTTTCTATTATGCTCACCAAGACTTCATTAATTTGTGTGTTTGTTTGTGTGTGTGTTTTTTTTTTTAAGTAATAACAGTATTGTGAAATATTATTACCATTAAAAATAACTTTTCTATCTTCATATATTTAAGAAAGTAATTTATTCATGTGATGGCAAAACTGAATTTTCAGCATAATTTCTCCAGTCTTCAGTGTCACATGATCCTTCAGAAATCATTCTAATCTGCTGATTTGATACCCAAGTAAAATGTACTGTTAATATTGAAACCAGCTGTTCTGCTTAATATTATTGTGAAAACCATGATACATATTTATTCAATCCAATTTTAAGACAACAGCATTTATATGAAATAGAAATTGTATTATGTCTTTACTGTTAATTTTGATCAATGTAATGCATCCTTGCTGAAAAAAAAAAAAAAAAGACAAAAAAAATAAATTTGATCTCTCCTGCCATTACCTCACTGTGGCAGGGCAAGTTCCTGGTAGCTGTGCTTTAATTAATTACATGAGCAATTTTCAGAAATTCAACCAGCTGCTTTTGCAGTTTATAGTTTAGGGTTGGTTTTTTTTCCCTCTGGAGAGAAGAGAAGTTTTGAGTTCTGAGAGTTGAGTGCACTATAATAGCCTACTGCAAAAACTCATTTCCAAAGATGAAGGAAATTTGATTTCTCATGATACGCCTCCTTCAATAAACAGCTCTGCTGCAATCCACTCCCAGCTAAGACACATCCTCATGCTATATTGCGTTTTACTGTATATGACCTGATGGATTACAGAAGGTCCACACACAGTGAAATGGGGTTATATAACGTTCTTTATTGAGTTCCCTTCTATCAAGGGCAATGTGACCATATTCATATAAAACCCGAAGCACATTCTAATGACACTCTTAACATAGAAGATACTACTATACTGACTGCACTCTAAAGCTGAAGAAGAATCGGACAGTCAACATCACAGGCAAAAGCAATGTGTTAAGGGAGGGGGTTTAAGATGCCCTGTGATTAATGAGCTTCTCAATATACTGACCGTCTATGGAACCTGTGCGCAAGAGGCATGCAGATGCATTCATATAAAGGACGCAAGTTAAGCATTTTTTTAAAAAACGAAACAAAAAGAGAAAATGTG